GGGGTCCCTGCTGGGGTGCTGGGTGGCGGAGGCTGCTGCCCGTCCCTGCTGGTGCTCGAGGGGCCAAGAGCAGGCGGGGCTGAGCCGAGCGGGCTCAGGGGCGCAGCCCGGGGGTCTGGGAGATGTCCCTGCGCTCCTGTGGGCAGCGGCCGGGGGCAAGGCGTTCGGCCAGCGGGCCTCGGAGGGTCCGGAGCTCCAGGACCCTCGCTGGCCACGGAAGCATTGCCACCTGCTTTGCAGCCTGAACTCCCCCAACGAGGGCTGGGATGGTGTCTGAGCGATGGCATCTCTTCAAGGCCTCTTTCGGAACAGCCGAATGACCTGGAGCAGGATACAGACAGGAGGGTTAGCTTTGTAGAGCGGGGCAAACACTGAGCCCAACGTGCATTACACAGTCGGGAAAAGCATTTGATGGGGAGAAGGGCCCCCAGGGAGCTGCAAAGCCTTCCCCTGGCTGCTTACACAAAGAACCAACTTTAAATGAAATCCCAGGTAGGCATACACCTTACAGGAAAATGTCACAAGCCATTTCCTTTTAACTACCCTCCCTCATTGTCCCTCCCCCACCCAGGGTGGCTTTTGAGGACAGGCTTCAGGATCTGAAAGGAAAAGAGCAGGTACATTTCTTCAGCTCCTTTTAGGACTAGTTTGGGAACCAGCTCCTGACTCTGGAGAAGAGTGTCGCCTCACCCTCATCCTCTCTGGGTCTGAGCCCCACGGGGGAGGTCTGTTTGGAAAACATTTGCATGGGCTGCTGAATCTGAAGGTTTCATGTACAACTTTCTCTTAGTCTCCCAGTGTTTTCCACTTCTTAAAATGGAAAGTTAAAGGAAAAGGAGAGTCGCATCTAAGGAGCTAATAAGCAACTACCTCTGGAGAAAGAGCCCGACAATAATGAACAAATAGAGTGCATGGTGACTTAAACAGCTGTCCTCCAGGCACCAAGGAAAACCCAACAACATCCAACACTTTTGTTATTGTGTTCAGAAGAAAAAAAGGAGGACAAAACAAACACAACTATAGCACTTCCTGCCATGCACCAGTTAATGTGAGGATAAAAAAAAAACCTCCAGCTTTAAAAAAAAAATCTCCAGCTATCCACCATAATTTGCAAATCCCACATTTGTAGCTCCCAACTAGCGTGCAAGTGAATCTGGAGAGCAGATGGCACTTTTCATTTTATAGACCCGAGTCCCGAAGGAACTATGGCTCAGTCCCAAGTAAGAGCCCAGGCACAGGCCTGCCACCAAATTGTCTAAGTGCCGGATAGGGGATAACGCGGCACCCAGAAGGAAGAGACCCCAAAGAACCAAACTGGCTCTTCTTGCGCCCTTTGTCTTTATTATAAACGCAGATGGCTGAGTAAGAGGCCCTTTTCCCTCTCAGATGCAAACCCTCCCCTCCCACCACAGACCCTTTTTATTTAGAGGCAGTTTCTTCATCAGGAACCTCCCAATACCCAAGACTGGCTATTCTGTACTTCCTGGTGGTTCTCAGATGCGTCCCCTAGAACCCCGGGGCAGGAGGCTCACCGCGCGTGCTCTTTACTTCTGTGTCTTGTTCATTTCGGTATCCCCAGCACCTGGCACAATGTACCCTCTCAGTAAATGTCTGCTGAAGAAACGATGTCTCTCCTGCCCAACTGCTGTTCAGACTATAGGCCGTGAACTATTTTTAAACTTAGCACTCTCTAACAGGACACAGAACAACTGGAATCTGATGTCTTAAGGACGAATTCAGGTACCTTCATTTTATTTTATTATATTTATATCTTGAGGCTTTTTAAAAAGGGGAGACATCACTAAAACACACAATAAAATAATATTTATCCTCTAAAAATCCAGCCCAAATAAACCTTGATAGGATGTTTTTAGTTTATGTTTAATCATCTTAGCTTACAGGAACTATACTTAAACTATCAATTTTTAAAGGTAATATTTGAGTTAAATGCTTGATTTGGTTGAGTATACTTCTTCCTGGTGATTGTTTTCCAAGAATAAAGAATAGAGTCAAAAAACTTTTGTTTTAGTCTCTATAGAAGAGTGTGAGAGGCAAACATTGGTTGATAGTATCCAGGAATCTTAATATTCAAGAATGAAGTTGATTAGTCTCATTTTTTCCCTTCATAGCATTTTTAAAAAGTGGTTAAAAAACCCCACATAACATTTACTGCTTTAAGAGTTTTAAATGTTCAGTTTAGTAGCGTTAAAGCACATCCACATTGCTGCAAAACAGATCTCCAAAACTTTTCCATCTTGCAAATCTGAAATTCTATACCTTTAAGCGACGACTCTTCTGTCTCCCCCTAGCCCTTATGATCACTATTCTACTTTCTATGAATTTGACTCCTTTAGATAGCTCATGTAAGTGGAATCATAAAGTATTTGTGACTGGCTTATTTCACTTAGCACAATGTCCTCAAGCCTCATCCCTTTTGTAGCATGTGAGAGTATTTCCTTCCCTTTAAAGTCTGAATAATATTCCACTGCATGCATATGTCACATTTGGTTTATCTTATTCATCCACAGGTGGACATCTGGGTTGCTTCCACTTCTTTGCTATTGTGAATAGTGCTGCTATGAACATGGGTATGAAAATATCTCTTTAAGACACTGCTTTCCATTCTTTTGGATTTATACTCAGAAGTGGGATTGTTGAGTCATATGATAGATTTTAATTTTTTGAGGACTCTCCATACTTTTTCCCATAGCAGTTTTTTTTTGGAGGGGGTTAATTAGGTTCATTTATTTATTTATTTTTAAAGGAGGTACTGGGGACTGAACCCAGGACCTTGTGCATGCTAGGCATGTACTCTACCACTTGAGTTGTATCTTCCCCCTTCCCATAGCAGTTGTACCATTTAACAACAAGGGTTCCAGTTTCACCACATCCTCACTAGCACTTTTCTTTTTCTTTTTTTGCACTTTTATATTTTTTTGATAGTAGCCACCCTAATGAATGTGGTTTGGATCTGTACTTCTCTGATCATTAGTGATGTGCCTGGTGGCCATTTGGAGAAATGTCTATTCAAGTCCTTTTTGTAATTGAGCTATTTGATTTTTTTGTGGTTGAGTTTAGTTTCACCTTAGCCTTCAGACTAATTCTCTTTTGGCAGAGTTCTTGTTCACTGTTAGTCTTCCCTTGTCTGTAGCTTTTAATTAGTGCACCCACACTAAAGTCCTCAGCCTCACCTTGACTACTTTCTTCACTACAGGCACACCTACAGGAATAAGAGCACATAACTACAGAAGGCTGCTCTTGGCAGTGAAGGAGGTAACTTAACACCAGCTTCCTGATCATGCTGGTAGTATTAGGCTGAGTTATTGAGAAGGTGAATACAGAAAAAGAGAAACAATGATTGAATGAAATACTACAAAAATTAAGGAACTGGCTTGAAAAAACATGGGGGGTAGTAGAGAGGGTTTAAATGCACTGCATTAGCAATAACAGAGTACAGTGGTAGTGTCTCAATGCTGCATTAAAACTACATACAGGCATGTGGTTCAGGGGGAACTCTATTTGAACTCTATTTGGAAATTTCTACTTATTAGGCTACAAATGAACAGTTCAAAAATTCAAATCCTAAAAACTTGTCCATTATATTTTTCTACCAAAGGGAAATTATTTTGATGGCAATTAAAAAAAAACAAAAATGATTTTCCTGCTATTTTCCATGTAAGTGCCTAAATTTTTGATTTTGGGGCTTTGTTTTTTTACTCCAGGTGCTTCCTGCACATTTGTCTTGCTCTGTGAAGCTGTTCGTGAAATGCTCATTCTTCCCCTAGTGCTTTGTTCTGCAGACCCGATCCTCCGGCACAGAGCTGGAAGGGATCAGCCACACGAGGAGGCCGTGTGTGTGCGAGCTGGAGGATGCACCTGAGAAGAGCACAACCACAACGATTCTGAGGCTCAGCTTACAAGAAGTCAACCACTGCCTCAACAGTGCACGTTCAAAACCTATTATGTATAGTATTCTTAGAGAAAGGCATGTTTAAGTAAAAAATGAAGTTCCTCATGGCCAAGACAAACTGAAAAGGCAGCACATGACACTAGGAAACATCGTAACATCACGTTTCAGTTTCTGGTAGAGAGGAACAGAAACATTTAACTCCAGCAGCATTCATAAGGCAGAGGGCATCATAAACACATACGTACCTGGGTCCTGGCTCAGGCAAATAACATGGATCCTTCACACGACCAAAGCCACTGCTGTCCCCCAAAAGCACATCCTTAAAACACAAGAAAGGGAAAGCGTTATTACCAACTAACAGGTGTTTAAATTCTCACATGGGTGGAGGTAGAAAGGAGGAGCATTTACTGGATGTCTACTACTTATTGTCAGGCACCATGGTGGCACTCTTACATACTAACCCATTCCACCCTCAAAGCTCCAGGAAGTACTGTTAACCCCACTGCACCGATGAGGACACAGGCCCAAAGAGGTTAACTTTCCCAAGGTCACAAGTTGTAGAACCTCAGTGTATCTCACCAGGTACCTCTCCAAAGACATTTTCTAAGCAAGAGGCATCTGATGACAATTATCTCCAGAGTTCAAAGCAACTGCTAAACTTGAAATATAATGTTAAAAAATAATTCAAAGGGCCAAGCTTTTGAAACAGCAATAGGGAGATATGAGAGATGACAGGAAAAGGACAGTTTATTGAATTTAGCAAAAATCTCAAGAATTAGATATGAATCTGGCTTGTAATCAGGTTGAAATATGTTCTCTCTGGGAAAAACATCTCACCCACATGTCATATCAGTGACTCTGGGGACACTTCAAGGGAATTCATTATTCGTTTGTTTTTGTTTTTAGTAAGGGTATATATTGGTTTCCTGAGAGGGTTGTAGGTCAGTTTTTCATCATGTAAAATTCACTTCATTTGATGAGGCCCCTCCCGGATGAAAACAATGATGTTGCTACTGATGTAACTCTCACTTACTTATGATAATAGGAGACAGATAGAAAACAGAAAAATTAAATCCGTATATAATCCCTAAACTTAATTTCAGCAATTTGTTTCACCACTTCCTCTGTCTAAAGGGCTAATTGCTTTCACCCCCTTTCTCTCTATTTCCCCCCTAGTCAGTGGTAGAGGTACTAATAAACAAACAAAAAGAGCCAAAGGTGGGATTAGGCTCGGAGAAGAAACAACCCCGAATGTCATTAGTGACTGCCGCTGCCCCTCACTGGGCGCCTACTGTGTGCCAGACACTGCCACGTTCCTCACACTCCTCAGATTATGTGCCTGGAGCTGTGTTAGGCGCCTGACATTTCTCCTGTAATTTAATCCATAACAGTGGGGAGAGGGGGGGTAACTGCAGCTCAGAGAGGGTAAGTATCCCACCCACAGTTAAATGAGTAAGTTGAGGAGCTAGGATTCAAACCATCATGTCCTCAAAGCCTCAGATCAGTCTTTGGAATCTTAAGTTGGATGCTGGCTGAGCTGGATGTAATCAGATGTCCGTGCTTTGAGAAAAGGGAATTCCATGTGTTTCTGATTTGCTCAAATATCACCAGAGGGAATGGGACTTCCCACTCTCCACGAAACCTTCTGGTCCTTTTAGAGTCTTTCCCCACTCCACCTCCTCTGTTGACATGAATGTTCAGCTTTGCCAGTAATTAACTGAAAAAGCCTCTCGATCCCCTTAAAGCTCCTAACCTAGTAATGTTTAAATATATATTTCCATTCTATTATTTCCTTTGAATTACAGTATGAGCTTGATATTTATGTGAGTGTGCATAAAATAAAGGAAGTTAGACCCAATAATAGGCCATTAAGGGAATCTCGCATCAATGGAAATACCATTTGGACAAAGGAAAATGCCGTTCCAACCTAGTAAAAAGCCCTAGGGGGATATATTCCAGTTGCACTTATTCACTTCGACTGGGCACATATGTACTGTCAAAGAAGACTTGATTTTCTGCAAACTGGCAAGAAGTATAAACTATTATGGCAATTCAGGAAAAAGCAGTGGCTATGGGAGACACACCAGGTATAGAGCTATAGGAACAGACACTTGTTAAGCATGTATTTGTCTGTTAATTTGTTAAGTGTTTTGTTTTTGTCTCTAACTTCTGACGACTGACTTAAAAATACACCAGTTCTTGTTCTTCATTAGGCACAGTATACTTAAAACTATGAACCTAAGTCCTACTGAATCCCACTTCTCACTCTTGCTTTGGGTTCTGAGTTAGATATCCTAATGTCTATGTGACCAATGAAATATGAAGACAATAGTCATCTACTTTGGAATATCAGTTTCAAGTATCTGCTACTATGAATATAGAAATTAATTTTAAAGAATCTTAAAATGTTATTTAAATGTAAATTAACAGCAATTGATAAATGTTAAAATGAAATCAATTCATTGGCTGGAGTTTTCAGATATAAGATCTTGAACTCCCACCTCCCTTCCCTCCCCCAGTCTTTTTTAATTCCAGGATGCAGCATGGTAGAGTGACTTAGAACCTCTAGAGTCAGACAGGACAGGGTCAAAACCTTGCTCCCACTACCTTGGGCAAATTTCTCACCCTTTCTGTGCCTCAGTTCTCTCATCAAAATATAGGGAAAACAATACTATCTCCTCCTTTGCACAGATGTAGGGTTAATTTTATGCTTATAAAACACAGTACAATGACTGGCACAGAGTACACATTTGACAATTAGTAGCTATTTGTAACTTTGCCTCTTGTGGAAAGTTGATTCTGTTATTTATCCCCAGGCTTCAATGGGTGCTAAAAATGATTACAAGCTGCATCTTACAGAATCAAGCCTACATCCAACATTGTGGAGTTTCATGCATTGAGCAATTTCCTCAGCAATTAAACATTTGTCACATCATCACATGGTGAATGTGTTACATACCAGAAATGAAGGTCTCTGAAAATACAGTGAGAACCAGAGGGGACTCTAACTCAGCATCTGGGGTGGGGGGAATACCCTACCAGGAAGCATTTCCAAAAGGTTTCTTGGGGCTAGGGTATAGCTCAAGTGGTAGAGCACATGCTTAGCATGCACAAAATTAATAAATGAATAAACCTAATTACTTCCCCTCCTCAAAAAGAAAAAAACCAAATGTTTCTTTTTATAGCCTCTGCTATATTTTATTATTTTAACTTTTTATTTATTTATTTTGCTATATTTTAGATCTATGCAATGAATAGGTGTAAGTTTCTAACTCCAAGGCAGAAATGTTTGGATTTTTTTTTCCCTGCAGCTTTGCAGGGCTCATCTGCTTTAAAAAGGTTCAGTTTTCCAAAGTCTCTTACTAGGAAATAGCCAGGAATTTGATGTGCCCTTTAGCTCCATCACTAATATCCGCTTGTTCTGCAATTACATCTTTCAAATTAAGAGAAACTGAAGGAGCAGTAAGGGAGGCTGCTTGCTCAGAGAGGATCACAGCTGGCTACAGAGAGTCCAGGCCTGCTGAGTGTGTGAGCAGGTCTCAGGCTTCAAATGGTGGCAGCCTTCTGCAGTTGTCATTTCAGGCCCAAGAATGAAGAATTTTTATAAACAGAGAAGTTGATGTCTATGCTGACCTTGTTTTGGAAGCAGAAACTATCCTCACTAATGGACTTTTGAAAAGGAGCTGAATCCTTGTCAAAAGCTGGTAAAATCCTGCTCTATTAGCATCTGGTTGGCAGGAGCAAGCAGCATTTGTTCCAGATGCTGTGGACTGAGCCAGAACCAGAAACAGACTCCACATTTTGGGTTTAACTCAGGCAGATGGTGTAGTCTCTACAGGGTTACTTAATTTCTTGGAGTTCTCTAAAGCTGGGATGAGAAAAATTCTTATTTAATAGCTTCACCAAAGCTTAACGATAATGGTAAAGTTCCTGGAATTTGTCCAAATTAAAAAAAAAAGAGAAGAATATCTTGAAATAATAACCACAATAATTATGTGGAGACTAGTTTAAATCTTGTTTTTTAACTAGTTCTATAACTAAGGTAGATAATGGATGTATGAAGATGTGAGGGCCAGACCTTGCCAGGGACCAGCTCTCAGGGCAGCAAGGTGTGGTTGCTGAGCGCAGAAGTGAAGGCGGAAGCCCAAGAAAAGAGCTGCGATCTGGGGGATGATAACCTGTTTTCAGAACTGGTAGGAGCAAAGCAGCACAGATAAAGTATTTCACTTTGAAATATTTCCCCCGTTTGGCATAAGGGGGAATAAACAACAGATGCTTTGGTTCTCACCCAAACGTTTCTATTTTCTTTAGAATACAGGGAGAGAAATGAAGAACATGTTTGTTTTGCTAGGCAGTAAGCTTCTGAGGCCCATCTAGCTGAGATGGCATGTTACGTACATGGATTTTAAAGGCGTTTTAGGGGTAGGATGAGGACTGGAAATTAGCTCTGTTCTTCATTCTGAGGGGAGAAAAAAACAGCCATTGGACACCTATTGAGGATGGCCTCTGTAGATGTGTGTGTGTGTGTGTGTGTGTGTGTGTGTGTGTATTTATACAGGGGAGAAAATACTTCTGAATAGAAAATACTTGGGAGGGAGCACTATTTTCTCCCAGAAGGCTTGTGTATGTGTGTTTCAGAAGCAGGGCAGCAAACATATTTCTCACGCAACAATGGGTGAATCTTCGTCTGAAGCTGTTTCCTCCAACTCAGTGCCTCCCACACTCAACCCCCAATCCTTTGCCAATATCCTGCCCATCCTTTACAGCCTGGGTCAAATCCTATCTCCTTCATGAGATGCTCTCTCAGATTCCCTCAGAGTTAATCACTGTCCCTCCCATAACATGTTATGTATGACCACTCCCAGAGCATTCACCATTCATGTCATTTATATATAAGTTCATGTTTCTTGTTCAGTTCAGTGAACCCCAGAAAGGCATAAGACTTATTTTGTGTTTCCTTCAACCCTGTAATACAGTCCTTTTCATAAAGCATATTCTTTACAAATGGTTGCTGAATGATTAGGTTCTCTGCTGGGGAAAAC